AAAGATTTACCTTTCTATCTTTGCCAATGTTGAGGACAATTAGTTCCACCAAGCCTTTAGTATTCATGAGGAACCCAAGTGCTAAAGCCTCACGAAAAGGCACCTTGCATAAAAGGGACACCAGAACAGTGCCAACAATCTTCCCAAAACATGCTGTAAAAATGACCAAAGCCAGAAGACCCCAGGATTGGAGTCCCTGAATTGTGGCTATATTTGTCTTCAGTCCACTTGAGACAAAGTATAATGGTAAGAACAGTGCAGATACAAGATCCTCAAGTTTTTCCACAAGTGCACCAGCAAATGGGCCTTCTTTTGGGACGAGAACTCCAATCACAAAAGCACCAAACATGGCATGAATTCCAATCATATCAGTTACAAACCCACCAGCCAGGACAGCAGCCAATGTAGAACATATATACATCTCTTTTACTGGTTCACCATGATGGCATCGACGAGCCATCCATTTAAAGATGGGAGGGGCAATGAGAATTGCACAGATGACAAAAACACAACCACACAAGAGAACCCATAATGATACAAGGGGAGAATTATGAGATCCAGAGAGGGCAATAGCAAGAGAAAGTAGAATCCATGCAGCTACATCATTAACAGCAGCAGCTGACATGGCCATTCTTCCGACATCAGTGGTCAAGAGCTTCAGCTCAGCAAGAATTCGAGCTAAAACAGGAAAGGCAGTAATAGAAAGGGCAACACCCATGAACACAAGAAATGAGGAACTGTTCACACCTTTCGATATGGTGGCTTTCAGGACAAATGAAGAACCAATTCCTAATGCAAATGGAAGACTTATTCCTGCAGCAGCAATCCCAAGGGCCTTTTTACCAGTTCGACGAAGGGACTTAGGATCTATCTCTAAACCAGCAAGGAATAAGAAGAAAATGAGGCCAAGGTTTGCCAGAGTATCTAATACAGTTAGGCTTCTGGGTGGAAATACATGCTGCGTATAGCTTTTACTTCGACCAAGAACTGATGGCCCAAGTAAAATTCCTCCCTGTCAAACGAACAACAAATGTAAATGGACTTTCAATTAAGAATTATACATTCAGATCTAGAGAAAAAAAAGAATTCAAGCATTGAACTAAGATGCACATGCAGTTAAAAAGAGAGAGAGATGCTAAAATCAGAAATAATTAAGGATTTGCAGAACATATTAAAGAGTTGATTTCTACTGGATCATATCCAATAGTTTTGACCCTTCAGAATTAACATTTTCTTGCTATTTATATGGTGAGTTCATTAGTAATTCTACCATAAACTCCATGAAAAGAGGGCAGGGTAAAGGGGAAGGGGATGTTGTCATGCCTTTTTGCAGCATTATCAGGACTAAATATGAATATAAACTCATCAATCAAAGTCAAAAGACAAAACTAAGAATACAGTAAGTTATTCAAACATTCCAGGGGGCCATACACAATTTTAACCATAAGGCTTTAGAATCAGCATTTTTTTTTTTTTTCAAAATATAGAACGAAACTACAGCTTTTCTCCCCAATTAGTTTCAGCTTTGACATAAAAAATCATTCTTTCCCCTCTTCTTTTGATCAAATTGAAATAGGAAAAAATAAGATGAAACTTACAATAATTTCTGCAATGACACGGGGCTGTCTTAATGGCCTCAATAGGAAAGCAAGACCTCTGGTGAGCACAATTACTAAACATATCTGCAAAATAGCTAGAGGAAGTGCAAAATCCAGTGGATTATCACCCTGAAAGATCCCATTTGATGTAGGCTTCATTGGAGATGGACATGCATGTGCCGCAGTAGCATTAGAAGCCATTCTCCCAAAGCAACTCTTTTGGCTTCAATTCCTGCGAAACAAACTGTTAGTTGACATCATCGATTACATTAATCCCAACACGATCAAGAGTTCTGACAAAATCAATATGAACAAACAACAACCCAAAAAAGAAAAAAAAAAGAAAAGAAACTAGAGATCTTTTTCCAGATATAGTGAACAAAAACAAACAATCTGAAAAAAAACAGATCTTTTTTCCAGAAAAAGTGAACCCAGTTGGAGAAGTAGGAAACCCAGTACAAGTTGAAAAAGTAGTACCTTTTTTGTTGAGAAGTTTAGAAATCAAAGAGTTATGATATCGCCAAAATCAGAAGAGAGAGAAGGACACTAAGAGGGATCTGGATTTTCTCTGAATTGGCATTGATAAAAGAGGGAAGGGTTTAATGTTGAGACGTATATATATATATAGACACAAGATAGTGGCGCCGACTGGATAAAATGCAGTTGGCTAATACTTCATCTCTTTCGGTTTAAGTACCATTTTGGTCCGTCAACTTTTCACTTTGACACCAAAATTGTCCTTTACTTTTAAAAAGTATTAAAATTATCTTTAAACTTTCATTTTCGGTACAAAATAGTCCTTCCGTCAGTTAAGTGACAAGTTGCACGTTATCTTGCCACAAAATCATTGAAACTTTTTAATTTTATCCATGTGTAAATTCCAGCTAAGAAAATTTAATTTTTTTTTATTTCATCATTTTTCAAAACTAAAGACAAAAATAAAAACTTCATCTTCTTTCTTATTCTTTTCTCTCTCTGGTCGATTTTTCTTCCTCTCCAAAACAAACACAGATTTGACCATGATGGAAACTCATTAAGTGGAGATTGCTTTGGTTTTTTTCATGAGCCTCCATGTCGTTGTGGAGGGGATCCAGAGACACCATTGCATCTTTTGAGAGATTGCCCTTTTGCCACCCAAGTCTGGACTCTACTAGGATTGGGTGATAGGGAGTTTTTTCAATTGCCTTGGCAGCACTGGATTAAAATCTCATCCAGGAAAGTTACTCGAGTACAGCATGGGGAGATGTCCTATGATGTTCTTTTTTTGTCTACTATCTGGCAATTATGGAAATGCAAGAACCGCTTCATTTTTAACGGTGAGCATATACCAGCAGCTGCACTTTGTGATACAATTTGTGATTATGCGTGGGACACATACAAAGCAATGGTATGCAATATCTTTGTTTCAATGAGAGAACCAAGATGGATATGTTGGTATCCACCAAATCTGCCATTTTACAGACTAAATACAGATGGTTCTCGAATACAAGACACTGGATTTGCAAGTGCAGGAGAGGTGTTGCGAGACCAGTTAGGTATTTTTATCCAATGTTATTCGGTAAACATTGGTTTAGTTTCCATTTTCTTAGCTGAATTATGGGGCTGTAGAGAAGGATTGATCTTATGCAAGAATAAGGGTCTTAAGCATGTAGTTGTTGAAATGGACTCCTTATCTGCAGTACAGGTTATAAATGGCCAAAAGGAGCAAGATAGTTTTTCAGCGGTTCTTGTGTCTGACATCAGAAGGCTCAGATTTGAATTTGATTCCATTATTATTCAACACACACCTCGTGAAGCTAACTCGGCGGCAGACTTTTTGTCTGGAATTGGGCATAGTTTGCCAATTGGAACAACCGTCTTTGATTCTCCTCCGCCTGGACTGAATGCTTTTTTAGAAAGGGACATGTTAGGTGTTGCTTTTTTGCGACATTGATTAGTTAATTTTTCTTCATATGTAACAAAAAAAAAGACTGTAATACTAAAGCCGTACATGGCTTGTTGTTGTTCGGTATTAAATATTATGGCCGTAACATGGGTTGGGCCCAACAATATAAAGAAACAGAAAGTAGATTAGAAACGGAGCCCAAAGCTTAGCCCGAATTAATTGTATAGTATTTTATATATTTATATTTATTTATGAGATTAATGTTTAAGCACAATCTTTAAAAAACAGAAGAGAAAAGGCAAAAAAACCATTTCAATGGTGCACGCACTACCCAAAAAAAAAAATTTTAATATTTTTCATTCAAACCTTAAAAATATGTTATTTTAATATTTTTCAACAAGATTTATCTAATTTTAAACTGCTTTTTACCTAATTTTGTAAATTTTTAGCTAATAAATATTTTCCATGTGAACATATATTGTTTTTATCCCATATAATTATGTTGATTGTTAAATGATTGACAGATGTGGAATACCAATTATGTTATAATTTAACTTTATATCCCATAAAAAACAATATTTCAAAAATTGTAAGGCTTTACACCATTTATTGCAGTTAGTGGAACGGAAAATGACAAGGATTTTTCATCCAACAAAAGAAGAAAAAAAAAGAACAAAAAAAAAAGAAAAGAAAAGAAAAGAAAAGGGGGGGTCAAGAATTTTATTATTGAGATACCCAAAAACCCAACTAGTAGAACCAAAGGATTTGATCCAGCAAACAAGACAGCAGCAAGTATCATAGCAAACCTAATTAGTAATAATTAAGGTAATATTGATGTGCCTAGTAACATTCATATAGCTTAATATCCATCTTAAGCCGAAAATATTTGAATCCCTCAACAGCATCAGTCTCAAAAGTTGCAATCCCTCTAGCCATGAAAAAGTCTCCTGTTCCTCCTACCACAGACAGGTCCCTTGTCTTCTCCATCATCATGTCAGCTCCCATGATGTTTATAGTCCCTTTGTGCTCAGTAGAGTTGAAAATCAAGGTGTACGCAAACCAGGCATTGTAAGTAGTTTTCATGTCGTAGAAATAAAACCCCTGGGCTTGGGCGGCTGGAGGAGACTGCGGATTCTGATTTTTTGTCACTGGATCATCAAAAACCACAAGCAGGCCGAACACAAAGTCGCCTAGTTTGGTTGGAGTTGTAGCCGCGGCAGAGGTTGCGTTGGAAGTATCTGTTCCATTGAGGAGGATGTCATGGTAATAGAGAATGAAACGCTTGCATGGCCTTTTTGGGTTCATGGTTTTCTGGACAGACAAAACAGATTGAGATACCAGGAAGAGGTCGAAGAGGGTGTAGCTCAGTGTGTTTAGAGGAGCTTTCATGGCTAAGTTGGTCTGATGCTTCTACAAGAGTTGGAAGTATCATCAGTTTATATAGGCAGCAGTTCTAGGAGGGGGAGCGGCTGAGGTTTGTTCTTTTGGCCAAAAAGGATCACTCCAAAAATTCAATGAGACAATGAAGGCTGAGGTTTGTTCCTTTTGCCAAGAAGGATCACGCGAAAAGAACGTATGAGACAATGAAGGCTGACACTGATTACA